TGATTGCTCCTAATAAGTGAGTGCTCTAGTACAGGTGCTAATCTAGTGGACAGGTAAATGATGATAAGCTTGATGCTAAGTTTAAATTGGTCACTATCTTCATAAGCTCTTTTATGCAAATGTGTCAAGCTAGCCCACCTCATAAGTCTTGCATGATCCTTGGTGTCTTTTATTTCTGATTTTGTCGGGTAAGTCTAGCTGAGTACCTTCTCGTACTCAGGGTTTATCTCCCACCTGTTGCAGGTGACCAGTTCTACTTTGGTTGCTGCAAGTATTGCCTTCTCCCAGCTGGGGATGAAGACTAGACCGTTGGGCGCGGTCTCTACTAGTTCTCGTACCTGATGATGCTTTTATGGGACATGACTCAGATCTGGCAATGTATTTGAAACTATGAAGTTATGTACTAAACTATGTTGCTTCCGCAAATTTGAACATGGTTTGTAATATTTTATTTGAACTCTGATGGATGTAATCAGAATGCTACTTGTGAAATGTTGTAACGAATGATGTGTTGTGTTGAATCACTACGGTCTTGGTTTGTATGTCGAGAGTTGGTTGAAATCCTTCGTGATTTTCGGACTACCGGGATTATGAGAGCTTAAGTACAGGAATTTGATCGCTTCGGTGATTGTTTTTATACTTACGTTCTTATGATTTGGTCGGTTCTGTTACAGCAAGTACTTCATCCTGCTGGTGGATGACTGCAGCCGGTTCATGTGGCTGCAACTTCTTACCAACAAGACCGAGGCAGCAGAAGCGGTCAAGAAGTTCAAGGCGCGTGCGGATACGGAGAGCGGCAAGAAGTTGCGTGTACTGCGGACTGATCGTGGCGGCGAATTCACTTCGGTGGAATTCGTTGCGTACTGTACGGATCAGGGTGTGGTGCGACACCACACCGCGCCGTACTCGCAACAGCAAAATGGCGTGGTGGAGCGGCGAAACCAGACGGTGGTCGGCATGGCTCGATCCATGATGAAGGCCAAAATTATGCCGACAAAGTTCTGGGGAGAGGCGGTGACCACGGCGGTGTTCATCCTCAACCGCGGGCAAGACGCCGTTCGAGGCTTGGCATGGACGCAAGCCGAATGTGTCCTTCCACAGGATATTTGACTGCGTCGGCCATGTGAAGAATACCAAGCCTCACCTCGGCAAGTTGGAAGATAGGAGCACGCCGATGGTACTCCTGGGCTACGAGAAGGGCATCAAGGCGTATCGGCTCTATGATCCCAAGAGAGGCAAGGTGATGATCTCTAGGGATGTGGTGTTCGATGAGATGGCGACCTGGGACTGGGAGGGTCCGGGCACGGGGGAAGTTGGCAGCTTGAGCAGCACCTTCGTCGTCGAACACTTACTCATCCACGGTGGTGGAGACGCTGGAGAAAAGGTGCTGACCACCCCAGGAGTGGTGCCGAGCGGTCCAGCAGCAATGCCGACCACTCTAGAGGGGGTGCCAAGCACTTCAGCAGCAGTGTCGAGCGCTGCAGCAGTGGAGCCGACCACTTCAGGAGTGGTGCCGACCGCTCCAAGAGTGGATCCGACCACTCCAGCAGTGGTGCCGAGCGGTCCAGCAGCGATGTTGACCACTCAGGCAGAACATGGAGGCCATGGACCACCGATCGAGTTCACCTCTCCACCCACCGACATCGACGAGGACGTGGACGCTTTCCACGACGGCGAGGAGGTCCGGTTCAGGCGGGTGGACAACATCGTTGCCGAAGGGGGAGCTCCTGGGTTGGCCAGTCGTTTTCTCGACGACCCAGAGCTGCTCCTTGTTAGTGCAGAGGAGCCACCGACATTTGCGGTGGCTGAACGCGACGACAATTGGCGTCGGGCGATATTGGAAGAGATGAAGGCCATCGAGGACAATGGGATATGGGAGCTGGTGGATCCACCGGTGGGCTGCAGGCCGATCGGGTTGAAGTGGGTCTACAAGGTGAAGCGGGACAGCGCGGCGCCATTGTCAAGTACAAGGCTCGGCTCGTCGCCCGCGGCTTCGTGCAGCGTGAGGGTATCGACTTCGAGGAAGTCTTTGCTCCGGTGGCGCGAATGGATCCATTCGCTTGCTGTTGGCCATGGCAGCAGCGAAGGATTGGCACGTCCACCACCTCGACGTCAAGTCTGTGTTCCTCAACGGCGAGCTCGCGGAGACGGTCTTCGTCAAGCAAACTCCGGGCTTCGCCGTCAAGGGCGCTGAGCACAAGGTGCTCAAGCTGCGCAAGGCGCTCTATGTGGAAAGGAGCTCGCGGCGCGGCGTGTATGTGGACGACTTGATCGTCACTGGAGCGCGGGCAGAGGACATCGACGACTTCAAGCGCGAGATGGCTGCTCGTTTCAAAATGAGAGATCTCGGCGCTCTCTCCTACTACCTCGGCATTGAAGTGAGGCAGGGGAAGGAGCACATCTCCCTGGGCCAGCGCGCCTATGCGGAGAAGCTACTGGAGCGCAGCGGCATGGCGGAGTGCAAGCCGTGCGCAACTCCAATGGAGGAGCGGCTGAAGCTGTCCAAGCACAGCATGGCGGCGAAGGTGGACGCGACGCGCTACTGGAGCATCGTCGGCGGGCTGCGCTACCTCACGCATACTCGGCCGGACATCACGTTCGCGGTCAGGTATGTCAGTTGCTTCATGGAGGACCCGCGCGAGGATCACTGGATGGTGGTGAAGGGGCTGCTGCGCTACGTCAAGGGGACGCTCGATCAAGCGATCATCTTCTCCAAGAGTGGCGGCAAGGGTGGGTTGCGGCTCACGGTCTTCAGTGAGGCACCCCCAAGGCAAAGTAAGGTGAGCTGGAGCTCACTGTTTTCAGCGAGGCAGACATGGCGTGCGACATCGACGGGCGACGGAGCACCTTCGACGTGCTCGTCTTCCTTGGAGCGGCCCCCATTGCTTGGCAATCACTGAAGAAAAAGATCGTGGCACTATCGACGTGCGAGGCGGAGTACGTCGCAGCAGCCACGGCAGCGTGCCAGGTTGTCTAGCTGCGCCGGCTGCTGGGCGAGCTAACCGGCGAGGAAGCTCACCCGCCAGCTCTGATGGTGGACAACCAGCCCGCCATCGCCCTCGCCAAGAACCCTGTCCTACACGACCGGAGCAGGCACATTGACATCAAGTTCCACTTCCTCCAGGACTGCATCGATGGAGGGCAAATCGTCATCGAGTTCCTCGTGACCGGCAGACAGCTCGCTGACATCCTCACCAAGTCACTCTGGCGCCTGCGGTTCATGGAGCTGAGGAAGATGATTGGCATGGATGAGGTCAAGGCATCGGGTTAGCAGCAGGATTAGGGGAAGAATTGTAAGACATAATCAACTGCTGATCTCTCTCTCTCTCTTGCTGCAGCAGAGTTGGCATTTGGTCAGCTTGGCTGTCCAGTCTCTACTGCTGTAGCAGTATGGCAATAGCACCTTTAATACATTAGTTGGTAGCTATTACATTAGTCATGTCTTGATAGTGGACTGATCTAAGCTTTGTACTGCTAGTACTAGGAGTAGGTAGTTGGTGTACTCACCAACAACTATGTACCTAGTAGAGGTACTAGCACTTGTATATATATCACACCTAAGGCAATGCAAAAGAACAGTTCAGTTTGCCACATCCAGAAGCAGAGCTTTCGGCCAGCGCTGGTTTTGTGTTGTGTGTGTGAGCTGTTCTCAATATCTTCTTCTACCTCTAGCCATAGTGAGTGAGTGTGCTGGTAAGCTTACTGCTTACAGGCAGCCGAGGGACCAACAAGCAAACCTGAACATGTTTGTATATCCTGTGGCGAGCAGCCATGATCAACCCATCATCTGTCCATGCAACAATTTCCAGGGTATCATGTGGGAAACTATCCTTCTCAATTACAAGGCTGTGATACCTTCCGGCCTGGAATGGGCTACAGGACAAAGTTATCAGACTTTTGCATAAAAAAATAACTTTCAACATTAAATACCTACTATTGGAAAGTAGTGTCTCGAAATGCGCCTATTGTAACTGAAGTGATATTCTTCAGCCGCAGGTTAAATAGCATAAAACATGTGCATGCATATCTTCCGTTCTAAACATTAATGATCATCATATTCACATGGGTGAGGTGACCAAAACTCTTTGTCGAAAATGTTGTCATCCTGTTGCAATTTTTGTATGTAACTGATGCTAAAATATTGAGATTCAAAATTCAAAATTATCCTTCACAGTCGCATCTTGCAAACGATGCAATTATAACAAGAAAACTCTCCATTTCAGAGGAGCTAGTAAAAGTGTCTCTCCTGTAATATTTATGTTAAGAGAAAAGATTTTATTCATATTTTTTATATTTGCAGTAACCTAACTGGATTCTCCAAACAGAGATTTAGAGAACAAGACAAACTACCTTCCTTCCCCAAAAAAAAAAAAAAAAAACAAACTACCTTCCTTACCTATCTGTAATTTCTAGGTTGCACATCAATAAAAGCTAACTAAGCATAGATAAATAAATAAAAAGCTAACTATGCAAACAAAGATGGTTCAACTATGTTTCCTTTGTGGCAAACCTAATAATGGAACAATAAGAAGCAAATCTGCCTCTGTCATGACTCATGACACAAAAAAGGAAACTAGGATGATACATCCAATAACACAACTCTCGGTGAAGACTTCATTCTGATTTAGTGAACCAAACTTCTAGATTGCCAACATATTTTTTGTTGGATTGCGAAGCTGATTGTACCATAGTGAAGTATCTTTTTTAATTAAAAAAACACAGTCCACATTTGCACTAAACAAAACTTTTATGCTCCTATAAATCATGTATCATCACTTCACATTTTGCACTTAAGCGTGATTTTTTGAGCTTATTGCCTATGTCCCTAATTAGTAGGCTACTTATATTGTAAGCTGGTCTAGATTGTATTAACTTTTAACTTTTCTAGAGAAATAAATGGGAGGCCAGACACAAGAAAGAAGATAACTGAGTATCAGGCCCCACACATGGCAAGTTGTATGCCAATTAAACCCGATGGATGGGAAGCTTAACAAGGGATCTTACTTTGGAAGATCGGAAAACAGAGTTCCATCAAGCTTCTCATCATAATGAACAAGGGATCCCTTTCCATGCACCACTCCATAAGGAGATCGGACAACCTTCCCTACAAACAAGAAACAAGAAAATAAGACAGGCTTGAAGTCTAAAGATACTACTCAAGTGAAGAACTTGTGCATATACAAACCACCAAATGCCTCCCCAATGCATTGTAAACCCATGCAAACCCCAAACAACGGTATAGAGGGCCCAAGCTCTGTAACTGTTTGTAAGGATATTCCAGAATCTTGAGGAGTGCCTGACATTTCAATTTTGTTAAAAAGAGAAAATAATAATTTATAGACATGCCAAAACACAGTAGGTTTTAAGACTACATTCATTAGCATCTCATATGTTAGTATTAATGAATGAAATTAGTACAGAAAAATGCTGACCAGGGCCTGGGGAGATAAGTATTCCTCTAGGAGAAATCCTGTAGATCAAGCAACACATTGCAGGTGATATTATCAAGAGAATTCAACATGTAAACTTGTTGAACCTTATACAGGAAAGAACAGTTACCTACTTCTTAATTTCTTCCACAGTGATCTCATCATTGCGATAAACCTCAAAATTAGCTCCAACCTCTCCCATGTACTGCATATAGACAAATTTAAGGAAACTTCAGTGATCAGTACAATCCATAAGAGAGTGTATATTTGTGAGAACTTCTTTTTTTCTTTCAAGAATGCATATTTGTTCATATTTTCCATTGTGCATCCATTTTGGTCCTCTTATAGCCACATGTTTATAGTATTTTGAAGTTACATTATCAGTCCTTAGTTCCTAATCCCTGAGGTTTCTAAGAAAAGTCATAACTATGTTTTGATTGCTTATGCCGGCTTCATTTGCCAGAGACTTCAACTGGGCAATGTCAAAGTTTTTCAATTAGATACCCAAAGATAGAATGTATTGAAAAGAGTGTGGAAACTAGAAAGGCTCGCTCCTTCACACTAATCATGCCATCACATCACCAATCTAAATTACTTTGAAGTTACCATAATGCACGGAGAAGTTTCTCCATCAGTAATGCAACAGAATATTGCTTTTACCTGGCATAAATTATATGTGAAGCTATCATAGTTGTCTATGACTATGATTGGTCTAATATTTTGCTTTACTTCAACAAATGCATCACCACCTTCCACTGCCGAGATAGCAGATTTAGCAACAAACTTTTGCTGTTTAACGGTTGTGGTTCCACTGAGTGCTCCTGCACGATCAGTTAAAATATCTATTATAATTAAATAAACAGGACAAATTAAAGTAATTCTGTGAATTCTGTTTTTTCTTGTTGTTTTATTATTAATGGCAATCGTTAGGATAAAAATTTCGAGTGATGCTAAGCTATCACAGCTTGCTAAAAGAATTTACACAGATCTCTTTGACCATTCCACTAATTGATCAGCGAACAAGAGTCTTAGTTCGTTTCACAGAACAGGAAAAGCTTAAAGCAGAATCTCGTTTCATCAAAAAAGAAAAAAGAAAAAAGCAGAATCTCGTTTCAGCACTCCCAAATTCTAAGACTTATATAAAGAAAAAAAAACAAGGAGGTCACTGATGGAGTGATGGGGGCAGGTGAGACAGAAAGAGACAGACAACTAACTTGACTAAGTACACGGAGCTTCGGACTTCGCCGGCGGAGGGCGGCCGGCGCCCACAACGAAGGCTATTCGTTTCTCCTAGATCGATCTCGGATTCGTCCCGATCGAGGGAGCACAATCAAGATACCCGACGGCGCGGAGCAACAAAGCAATAAATGCAACGTACCGCCAACTCGCTTACCTACGCGGCGGCTGGAGAGGCGGCGCGGCTCGGCCCGCGGCGTCGCGGCGGGGTGGATCTTGGTTACGAGGCGTGCGGCGTAGGCCATTGGGTTGGAGCGAGGAGCCGAGGAGACAGGGCGGCGTCGGGGTCGGCCGGAGTGGAACAGGGGCAGGAATCAACACTGTCCTGTTCGGGGGCCGATCAAGTTTCTCGCGTTTGGTGGGAATGGGACAGCTAGGACCGTCAGCGTTTCTTCTCTCTTATTATTAGGTGGACATACATATACTTGAAAAAAAAATAACTCAACGCTACTGTATATTAGCTATTAATTAGGCCTCATTTGGGAGAGATTGTCCTCTTCAGCCAGCTCCCCGGTAACAGGGAGTCTTGTAAAATGGTTCCGTTCGGCTTGCTGAAACTTGGTTGAATTGACGAAAAAACAGTCTGAATTGTTGTGAGAAAAAAATACTGTTCTAGCTAAAAAAACAAGTTAAATAGTACCGATTATAAGGTAAGCCGAACGGGGCTGTCGTAGCAATGGCCTATGACCTGTTTTTCTCTTTTATAGAAATAAAATAGGAGCCGGTAAAATTAGAAAAAAAAAAACTGTTTTACTTGTCCAGCTCCTCCGTGGGAGCCAGGAAAAATAAAACTATCAAATAGGCCATTAGCATATGTACTCGATGTGCTAGCTCTAAACATGATTGGAACTGTATTTTTGCGGATGTTGCAAACTACTCCGATCCATCTGTCCTAAAATATGCAAATATGAGAATTGTCTAGTCAAACTAGTTTAAGTTTTACCGAATTTATAATAAATAAGTTAATATTTATGTCTCGAACTAAGCTTACTACACAAATATATTTTATATATAATTTAATTATACTTATTTTATCATAAATATAAATATTAATATTTTTTGTAACTTTGGTCAAACTTTAAATTGTTTGATTGCTCGAAAAATGATAATTGCATTCGTGCCTCAATAGTAGCTCAAGCACCAGCAACAACATGCATCTTCTTAAAAGCTATCTATTCTCTGTGTCCTCTAAATTTGACTAATTATTGAGGAGATAATCAGTATCTGTTTGTTATGAATGCACATTCACGGTCTATATATGAGATTTACTAAACATTATGAATCTTAATACTTAGGCAAATTTTGCCGTGGGACACTGAAGAAACGTGTAATTGGCCGCCATACACCACAACGACAAGAATTTGCTAGAAGGCAGTGTAAATTTGTGACTGCTTGCCAAGAGACACCGCACTAGATATTTTATTTATTTCTCGGTTTCTGAGAGAAAAGGCGGAGGAAATGTCCAAACTACCCTTGTCTTCAACCTGTGGTTGCAGCACGTGGCGAACAATCAGGCTTGGCGCCCGACGAGGCCGCGCCCCCATCCCCGGAAAGCCCGCGTGGCCATGCCCAGCGGGGCCAGGCCGGCGCCCGCCATGGCTGCACCTGCCCCCCGAAACGCAAATGTGCATCGTCCAGAGAGACGGACGCAAATCTCTGGCGTCGTAGTGGTGGGCCCGTAGGAGCGGGGCGCGGCGAGGCGCGGCCAGGCGGACAACTGCAGGGAGCCGCCGCGGCGAGGAGATGGACTCGGAGAAGCGCTCGTAGAAGACGTTGAGGTCGCGCGGGAAGACGAGGCCCTGCGCGCCGCAGCCGAGGAGGCCCTGCAAGAAGCGGAGCTCGTCGGACTCGGACCAGATGCGTTGGAACTTGAAGGGCGGCTGCTGCTGGTCAGATCCACCGCCGCCGCAAGCGCCGCCGGGCACGGGCGCGCGAAGCGGGTCGGAGGAGGCCAGGGACGAGTTGGATGGGGGGCGAGGACGATGGCCACGGGGAGCGGCGCTTGATGGGGAGCTTGCGCGCGGCGGAGGCCGAGGGCGGGGTCGGGGACCGAGAGGGCCTGTTGGTCCGGCCATGGAGCGCACGGATCGAGCGAGCGAGCACGCCCCCTCTCTGCGGGCGACGAGAACGAGACGGGACGGGAGGGAAGTGGCTTTTGGGTAGGCTGTTGGACGAGGCGAGTTTTGGGTGCGGGATCTTTTACTGTGCGTGACCCAAAACTACGAAATAGGTCTCTCATTTGGGTATGTCTCGTTGGAGATAGCCTTAGGCGTGGACAAATCAGCGACCCCTGCAGCTACGGGTTATGGCGCCATGGACGGCTACACACGAGCTAGGTACAGGTAGCCACGTATGGGAGCATGTACACGGAAGCATCTCTCTACTCTTGTGGTTGCCAAAACAGCGGCAAAGAATGAGAAAGCCAGCAAAGTAATAGGATGTTTGGTTTGCCGCCCCAAACTGCCACGCCACGAATGTGGCGAGCCACTGCCTCGTTCGCTTGACTGATAAGCCTGTTATGAGAGAAAAATACTATTCGTTGGCTAAAAAGGTACGGTTTATAAGCCCAACGAATAGTACGCACGTCCGCCTACGGTGTTGTTTGGTTGCAACTTCAACCACGGCAGCTACGGAATCTCACGTAAGACTGTCTCCAACGATGAGACATAAATCCAATACCCATTCTCTGATTTAGGTGATATACAGTAGAAAGACTCCGGTACCTAAAATGGAGATTCTCCAACGGGCCACGCAAATTAGCCCTCTTCTTCCTCTTCCTCGGTCTGTCCGCCGCCCACCCATCTCCACACCCCCGGCGCCTGCGTGGTGGCGAGCCCCATGTCGAAGACGAGCGGCCGCCCTGGCGAGCCCTCAAGAAGAGCGCCAGCGCCAGCCAGGCCCGACAACCGAGGGTCGCGCCCGACGGACACCAGCATTTCTTGGGGGCTCTCGCAACTCGCCCGAGCCGGATCTCCTCGCGTAGCCACTCCCCCCGGCTCGGCGATGACCTCGACCGCCACCGGCGTCAGTCCACAACCGCACGGCCTCTCGCCCTCCGGCGCCACGCATCCGGCTCTCTCGCGCCAAGGCCAAGCCTCCGCCAACAGACCACTCGCCGTCCGCCGGCCGCGTCCGCCGCGGACCCGCCTGGAGGCGCCGGTGGGTGGGCCCAGCGCCTTAGGACCCGCCTCGGGCTCGCCTTGCCGAGCCGGCCACGCCCCGTCGCGAGCCGCACCTCGCCGCGGGCCCACTGCAACGGCGCCAGACATTTGGGTCGTCTCCCTCGCGAGACGCTTATTTGCCTTCCGATTGGGCTGTTACACAAAATGCGTCCTGTGTTTGCGTGTTCCGTTGGAGCTCGTTTTTTTGCTACCCAAACTACTGTGCAGCACCTATTTTGCATTTGGTGACATCGTTGGAGACAGTCTCAGAAAAACACTGCCGCAACTGCAGCTCGCCACAGCTCACCGCACTTCGGACGTGGTCGGGTGTGGTGGCCGATATCAAACACGCCCTAATCTGCGTACGAGAGAATGGCCCTGGCCCGTGGACACATGAAGCTGTGGAACTACGAACTAGTACTCCTACTCAAGATTCAAGAAAGGGGCTAAAATGTGTCATTTCAATCTTAGTAATTGTATACGACGATGATCATTGTCGAAATGACAAAACAAAAGATTGTTAGGAGTTGCAAGAACTGACAAGCCGTACGCGCGCTGAAGCACAGCGTAAGATTTTCAAAATCTAGCACTTTGGTGGTTGATAGCGCGATATCCATTCAAATTTTGGTAGTTTTTATTAGGCCTGGTTGAGTTCAAAAAATTTTTTTAGAAAAAACTATCATCGAATCTTCGTTGTATGCATTTGTATTAAATATATTCGAAAAAATTTAATCTGCAATTTGGTTGGAAATCGTGAAAGATATTTTAAGACTAATTAGTGCATTTAGTCATAAAAGTGCTAATTAATTTTGCGCTATTTTTGGATTAATATTTAATAAATTATCTCACCGCTTTAAGATTTGATGTATGTAATTTTTTTTTATTAGTATTCAAAACCTTTTATGGAACACAAACATTTAATATGGTTCGAAATTTTTCATTTCACGAACTAAACATAGCGTTGGGTCAAATTCTGTTGGTGCCGGTCCTGACACTGGCCGTCCCACCACATCCAATCCACGCACCACGCGAACCCGGCTGAAGGAACCGAAACCATCGCCGGCGCGAGCCGTGGCATCGGCGCGAGCTGTCCGCACGTACGGCTAGGCCCGGACAAAATACTCGCGTCTCATGGACTCGCTCGATTTCTTACTGGCTCAGTTTGAATCGACTCGACTTGTTTTAACTTTTTCATGAGTTGAGTTTGATGTCTATCTTTCTATTTTAACAAGTCAGCTTGAGCTAGCTCATGAGTCGCTCACGAGCTGAAACGAGCTAAGATCTATTAGCCCACGATCATGAATTTAGAAGATGATGATGTTGATCTAGAAATGTACAACTATTCTATTGGTACGTAATCTTTATTTTCAACTGTTTCATATGAATTTTGATTTTATAATTGTTGTGGTATTTAAATATTGATTTTATGGATTGTTTTTTACGGGAAGATGATGATGCTAATATTGAATTCGTGGACTTTTCTAAATTTATGGTGACAAGCAACTAGTTAGTATGTTGGAATTGCATAATCATGAATGGACCAGCTATGTTGCATGGTTGATACTTTTGATAAATCTAATATGTATTAATTATGTATGTTGCATAATAGTAGATGTCACCTTCTAAAATTAATATAACATAAATATTATAAACATATGTGTCCTATTTTTTTTAATTAGCTCACATATGTGTCCTAATTTTTTTTTAAGTAGCTCACAAGCTAAACGGTAAACCGAGCTGTACCTCTTGGTTATAATAATGGACATCATCTTCTAAAATTAATGTAGCATTTCGTATTATAAATATATATATCTTTATTTTTAAGTAACTTAAAAGATTCATCTCAGATTTCTAAGCGAACTAGTAATTAGTTTTTTTTTCGTTCATTTTAAGACTTGATATATCGAGCTAAAAGCTATACCTCTGGATCATAATATTAACAAGCCGAGCTAAACCTAACGAGCTAGCTCTGGCTGGACAAAGCCGAGACGAGCTCATATCCAGACCTACGCACGTCGGGGCTGGCCGTCCCCCGCCCGCCCGCGAGTGGGAGGCCACTGTTTCCTCACGCACCCGGGTCGTGAGGGCAGAAGGGCGTGGGGCCATGGTTCCCACCGCGGGGCGCCGAGCGCGCTCCTCCTCTCGCGCAGCGCCAGCGCCAGCGCCAGCCCCCGCGCCGTGGCTTTATATACGCCTCTTCCCAACCCTACCGCACCATCACCACCACCGCTCTCTCTCTCCTCTCCTCTCCTCTCCTCTCCTCCCCCCCGCCCGAGCTCACCAACGCCCCTCCTCCTCGCCGCGGATCCCCCGCTACACCGGTAACCGTCTCTCCCTTCACCCTGTCTGAAGCGTCGCTAGAGTCCCTTGCCTGCCTGCCTCTGCCTGCGCGTGACGCAGGGCCGGGCGCGGTACGGCTCTCCCAGATCCGCCTGGCATTGCTCGCTCGGGTCGTGCCAGGCCGATCCGATCTCGCACTTGCGCGCTCCTGCCGCGGATCCGGCCGGATCTCGCGGAAATTGGAGCGCGCGTTTCTTTGAAATGCCGCAGATCTGCTTGCCTGCGCGCGTGATCTGGAGTCGTCGCGGGCCTTTCGTTAACGGAATGGCCCGATCTGTGGTTTGGTGGGGCAATGCCATGTTTTTTGCTCGTTATAATTGCTGATTTTGGGGAGCTTTTTCTACTGTCTTATTATGTTAGGAGAAAAGTAGAGACAGACAATAGCTTCAATTGATGCCTTCTAGAGCAGATTCTGTAGAGCAACTCGTGGAAACAAAATCATCTATCGGTGTCCAATTCGTATATTTGCTTCCTTAATTTCTGCTTGTTTTAACAAATGTGGCACCGGCCGAGCTTTGCTGTAGGTAGAAAATGGCTGACGCCGAGGATATCCAGCCCCTCGTCTGCGACAATGGAACCGGTATGGTCAAGGTAAGCCGCCGATTTGATCCCTGATGAAACACTTGTTCTTCAGAATGCAAGGTTCCCGGTGACTGCTGGTGCCCTAACAACAGCAACTTCTGGCAGGCTGGGTTCGCTGGCGACGACGCCCCGAGGGCCGTCTTCCCCAGCATCGTGGGGCGCCCGCGCCACACCGGTGTCATGGTCGGGATGGGGCAGAAGGATGCCTACGTCGGTGACGAGGCGCAGTCCAAGAGGGGTATCCTGACCCTCAAGTACCCCATCGAGCACGGAATCGTCAGCAACTGGGACGACATGGAGAAGATCTGGCATCACACCTTCTACAACGAGCTCCGTGTGGCTCCCGAGGAGCACCCCGTCCTCCTCACCGAGGCGCCCCTGAACCCCAAGGCTAATCGTGAGAAGATGACCCAGATCATGTTCGAGACCTTCAACACCCCCGCCATGTACGTCGCCATCCAGGCCGTCCTCTCGCTGTATGCCAGTGGTCGTACCACAGGTGAGCTGATTCGATTCTCTACTGAACCGTAGCCTTTTGGAATTTAGAGATCTTAGCAATTTTCAAATCTGATTTGCTGCAGTAGTCAGTAATCTCTGAAATCTGTTGCCTCTCAGGTATCGTGCTCGACTCGGGAGATGGTGTCAGCCACACTGTCCCCATCTACGAGGGATACGCCCTCCCCCACGCCATCCTTCGTCTCGACCTGGCTGGCCGCGACCTCACCGACTACCTCATGAAGATCCTGACTGAACGCGGCTACTCCTTCACCACCACTGCTGAGCGGGAAATTGTCAGGGACATGAAGGAGAAGCTCGCCTACATTGCCCTGGACTACGACCAGGAGATGGAGACTGCCAAGACCAGCTCTTCCGTGGAGAAGAGCTACGAGCTTCCTGATGGACAGGTCATCACCATTGGCGCTGAGCGCTTCCGCTGCCCTGAGGTCCTCTTCCAGCCATCCTTCATTGGGATGGAAGCTGCTGGTATCCACGAGACTACCTACAACTCCATCATGAAGTGCGACGTGGATATTAGGAAGGATCTATATGGCAACATCGTCCTCTCTGGTGGTACCACTATGTTCCCTGGGATTGCTGACAGGATGAGCAAGGAAATCACTGCCTTGGCTCCCAGCAGCATGAAGATCAAGGTGGTTGCTCCTCCAGAAAGGAAGTACAGTGTCTGGATTGGAGGATCCATCTTGGCATCCCTCAGCACCTTCCAGCAGGTAAATAAACGTAGCTGCAAAAGACTGCATTCCAATTTCCTCAATGTTGATCTAGTATGTGCTTACAAATTTGCTTACAACTGCAGATGTGGATTGCCAAGGCTGAGTACGACGAGTCTGGCCCGTCCATCGTCCACAGGAAATGCTTCTAATTCTTTGCGCCCAAGAAATGCAAGCCGAGAGGAGCCATTATCACCAGCCTCCTGCCCTGTTTCTTTCTCTTTTTGTTGATGTTTCTTCATTAGCATGAACAAAGTTTTATGCCGGCCTATCGGCCACCGCTTTCTTCTATTCATCAAGACTGTAATATCTATTGTTACCTATGCTTCTCACTTGTGATTTTGGACACATATGTTAGCAATTTTAATGAGATGCCTGATGAGGCTACTAGCATATACATATGGTGTTCAGATTGTCATTGGTTATTGATGTCTTATGAATGAATAATATCAAATTTTGTCATTGTGATCTCTCTATACCTGTATTGTTGTTACATGTGAGAATTGAGACGCTGTAACCTTGCCTCGTTGCAGTGGCATTTTGATTCCAGTCCCCTGTTCCACCAGATTCCCTCCTGTCTTGGGTGCGGTGCTGCTGCATGCATCAGAATAATTCTGTTCAGGCTTTAGCAGCGCATGAAGCACCCTTTGCTGCTTCAAAAGTTGTTCTAAACGTCTCATCAACACATCCTCGTTGTTGGGATGAGGAATCTTTCCTCTTTTATTTCAAACAAAACGCGACGGAGTCTGGAATCATGTGATGCTTTGGCTGTCGTCGTCTGGTTTTCTACAAGGTACGAATAGTATATTGTGGGCCGATATGCAGTTGGCCAATTGCCACGTCTTTGACAGCCTAGGACGTTGGGTGAGCCTTCATTGCTTTGTGTGTGTGCTCCACGTGTCCCTGCCTGATAGTTTTGCTTTGTCTTGTGTTTAGCTGGCAATGGCCAAATGGCTTCAAAAGGGCTGCACAACGCGGCCAACCATACACAGAACTAAAGAACCGGCCTGCAAATTTCATCGTATTTAAATAGACAACAACAAAATGATGCCGGTTTCTAACGTTTCTATGTGTTTCATTTCAGTTTTTCTACTTGATTTTCCAATCAATGTGTGGCCTAGGCATATGCAGACAATGTTTAGATTTGCCCAAAACTTGTAAATTTACCTTTTGGAATAGCTTATCGACAACTCTCAACGTATCCACATCAGCATCACTAGCTGACTTTAACAGTTTCTTGCTAATTGAAGCAACAAATAGGAATGCAGACAGGGTCAACGAATGAAACGGCAAGAAATTGAATTAGTAAGTGAAATCATATCTAGCCATTAAATGCTAGAATTTTAGGCAATTTCAGTAATAATTTAATCTAGAAAATAGCAATAATCAAAAGGTTTGTGACATCATATATGTGCTTGTGTGATCTAAGCATGAATAGCATGTAGATGATACTAACCAGCAAGATATTGATCCAAAACTTTACTGGATAGCGAACAACAGAAACATACCCAACGGCAGAGCCGGATGCACTAGTCGATATAATGCATGTCGATGTAGTTGTCCCGCACAATGCAGTGTAGAAGGGAAGCAGTGCCGATCACCAGAGAGCCTTCGCCTTGCGCCAGGAGGAAGGGGACGTAGCGAGTAGTCATGCCGTCAGCGACACTCCCCCAAAACGTGAGTGCCGCCTTCCACCCGAGCAGGTGAACTCGTAGACGACAGGCGTTTCGGAGGCCTACTCTCCCAGGACTCGTGCGCGCAAGTACTGGGACGGAGAAACTTTGAGGCAACGGAAGAGTGGTTGTTGCCGGTGAACCGGAAGATTGACAGAAGGGAGGCACTATTTAGTCACTTGCGGGGTAAGCGAAAGGGCTCAGGAGGAGTTCAAGAGACAGGAGACGAGAGAGCTCTCGCCATCATCGTTCAGCGGCGGTAACGGAGGAAACTCCCGTCATCAAATCGCCACTAATTAAAAATGGAAGAAACTCTCGTAATTATGCGACTTGATTGGCAAAGAAACTCCCCTCATTAAATCGCCACCAATTAAAAACGGAAGAAACTCCCGTAATTATGCGACTTGATTGGCAAAACACGGCTCCGTACGTCCGCTCGCTGCCTGCCTGCCTCGCCCATGGCCCAGCCGCCGCCGGCGACGGCGGCGGCAAGCACGCGTGTGGCACACCCGTGTTCTTTTTTCAACTTCTCAATATAGGTGGATAATATCCAACCATATAAATTGAGTTACCATTCAATCAAAATCTCGTATGGTATTAAACCATAATCAGCACATTATGTATTACACGCCATAAAGTTTATTGGAATTATTAAATATTATATGGGCTAAGCCTATAATATATCCAACAATAAACACATATATAGTACATGAAGCAGGAATGGACACAACACAGGCAAACAGGGCACTGGAGAGCTATTTTTAACTCGACGATTATATGAAAAAAAAAATTGCGCACTGTAGTCTGTAGCACCATGTTCATCACATTCTGCAAGCTAACAATTTGTTGTTTCATGAGAACCACCTCAGAAAAGGCAACCTGAAGAGTTTCCTGTGCAAAGGTGAGGACCTCCCCTGATGTTGATCCTTCCCTGGCATATCTAAGTGCGTCACAATGCAGCTCACTATACCGCAAACATTCGTCCAAAACAAAGCCATTCTTCGCTTCTTTCGTCCACCGTTTCAGTATGTAAAACTCTGGTATGCACGTCAAGAGCTAAGAATAACCTCAGTATATGCTGACATAAGATACCAGAACTCTCAAACTTACAGCAATTGCATTGAACCCTCTTGCCAGTGATGTCATACATAGTTGACAGAGCGTCCTTCATGACTTTATACACAGTAATCTACCCATCATTGTTCAGACTGGAAACATAGTATCATAATGATTCAATGAATTCCTCCTCAAACATGTTAAAGATTGTTATTGTGTATATTTCTGACACCTGTTTCGATATGTTTGAGGGAATTTTTAAAATAGGCATGGTAAAAGATGTGGCTAGATCTTCCAGAGCTTCCTTTTCTGCCCATCCAGCCATCACATGTTCAAACAGTGAAATAAGACGGAAAAGTTGTTGTTTTGTTGAAGTATTTCTTGAAGAAGCTTCTCAAGCTTTCAGGTCTTTGATTTGCTGAAAGTTCAGCAGTAAAAACATTTTTGAAGTACACAGGAACCCATCTTTGCCGAACTCTGTATAGAGACTGGAGCCAATTCCAACCTGATTCAAATATTTCAGTTGTTTCAGGCTCATTAATGCACACTCCAAATTCCTTCAAAAGAAGCACTTCCATAATATAAATTAGCCAAATTTTCCTTGCATATGTTTAATATCTGAGAATTACAATACAGATGGTATGTCTGGAAATACTTTTGCTACTGCTGAGCCAATGGCTTCATCATAACTTATAGTTAATGATGTAGGATGGTGTGCACCCATTGCAGCGATCCAGTTCTGAACTGAAAGAACCAAACGTAGGAGGATTCTGTGAAATCAGTAAGTAATGCACAACTGAACACTACACTTTGCAAGTGATGACACAGTTAACAAAACTAATGGAAAAATGTCCTCATTCTCTACAAAAGATGTCTCAAGCTTAACACCACTCCCCAAATAGTAGTATGATGTTTTAACTTTGTCATCATCCCAGAAGGCATGTCTCAATCATTTTTGTCAACCTGAATCCTGGAATGCATGAAAATGTAGGATTCTCAGCATTTTTTTCGCGAACATGCCTTGGCACGTGTTTCTCAGCAGTCAACCGCTTGAAGTATCCAATAAGCTTTTGGGTACCGTCCAGCCCAATAGCACAACAGCAAGGTTACTCTCTGTTATTTCTTGATTCTGTGGAGATTGATTCTTAAAACTCCTTCCATATTTTCGTAGCCGCACATTAATGGTTGGCGCTATTAAATTTTCTCGAAGAACACTAGTTTTTGCAAGTGCGACAACTTCACTGTTGGACTGAATGTAGTGTACCTTGTCTGGTACCGCAGTCAACTCATGTGTACTCCCTCCGTCCCATATTAGACAATGTTTTAGGATCGCTCACTGAAACCAACGCTGAAACCAAAAGACCAAAATGCCCTTCAAGGAATAGAGATGGCCTGTTCGCTTGTAGGAATTCTGGAGGAATTTGGATAGTTTGGAGGAATGTTGGAGGAATTTGTGAGAGAAAAACACGGTTCCGGATGAAAAAAGAAGCGGATCAAGCCGGATTTAAGGGCACGCGAACGGGGCCATAGAGATGTTCCGGGAAAAGAGAAAAGTGTATTAGAAAAAGAGAAAGGTGTATTGAGAAGTGAAATTTGAATGCTATGAGGTCATCCATTTAAACACACAAAACGCCTCATGATACTAGACTCATCACTCTTTGAGCACCGGGACTTGCTAATACGCACAGAGAAACCTATCCGGCTAGCATCAGCTATGTAGATCACCTTTGCAGCTTCCTTTGATTCAAACTCCATGCCAGGTTCAGTATTTTTCAGGTTCTCTTTGTTGGCATTATTATTCATGTCAACAAGTTTGCTGCTGATATCAAATGCCATCTGGTTTTGAATGTGATCATCATCAAATCATCTTTGCTTGAGGCACTCTCCATGACAAGAACTCAGTTTCTAAGCACAGAAGGTGTGTTTCCAGAACCACGAGTCATACCCTGGGGGAAAAAAAGACAACTCATTCCATCGACAGAACCACAGATGCAAAAATGTGTAACATAGAAAAAGAATCAGCATAGATAATTAGCTAAATGAAAGAGAAACTGTCCTTTAGATTATACAAACTAGTCCACTTGAAGCCTGATGTCAAAAATTTTTTTGTTGAAAGGTCAACGGGGGGATTTTCCCCACCTGAACAAATCAAATCAAATGTTTAAATTTACACAATCTTTTTTTTTTTTTTGCGAATAATAATACATTAGTGTCTCAATCAAGGCAACTCCAAGGCTTTTGTTGTCTGCCATCTAGAACTAAACCAACGCGAAAGAGACAGCCATAAAGATCCATTTTTTTCTCAAGGTGGATGCAGTCATGCAGACCATGGAGTCAATATTCTATAACATAGAAGAAAGGTATCATATTATGGAGTTGAAACAATGAAAATATGATGAAATATATTCAATCATTTAAGCCTC